CTAGATGCAGTGATGCCAGCCAGGCCAGTTTGCCCCCTCGGAGACACTAGGCAGTGTCTGGAAACATTTGTCATTGTCGCAGCTGGGTGGGGTGGGGGACAGTGCCCCTGGCATTCTGCTCAGTAGAGGCCAGAGATGCCTTTCAGCATCCTACTATGCGTGGGACTGCCCCCACAACAAAGAATGACCTGAACCAAAATGTCAGCAGTGTCAAGGTTGAGAAACCTAGGTATAGTGTGATTATTGCTGTAGTAAAAACAGGGACCATGTTTTCAGTGCTTTTCGTGCCTGGCACTGTCCGTGGTAGAGGCGTGTGTGTGTTCCTGTTGCCCCTCGTTGGGTTTAGGGGTCTGGGAGGCCTGAGCTGAACCCTGAGGCCAGGAAGGAGGGGAAGAAGGGGCATCCTGAGCAGGAGGGGCACGGGCAGCCACCTGGATGTGACACGGGCATCTTGGGATCTGCGGGCTGCTCGTCATGACTAGAAGCTGACGGGTGAGGCTAGGAGGAGAGGGAGGAAGTCAGTCAAGAAGAGGGTGTGGAGGCAGCAGAGTGAAAGCCAGAAACGGATGGCTTTGTATGCATGCTGCAGCATCTGGTGTTTATTTAAAGGCTGCGGGAAACCAAAACGAGGTTTCACGTGGGTTGTTAACATGTTCAGATTTGTCTTGTGGAAGGATCACTTCAGTGTTTCAAAGAGAACTAATTGGAAGGAGACAGCTAGAGATAAGGAGTTGATTCAGGGCTGTGCCAGTCATGCAGGTAAGAAATGAGCCAAGGACGTGACAGTAGGCATGGGAAAAATAGTTGAATTTCAGAGACATTAAGGAGGTTGAACCTCTTGGTTCGGGCCCCAAGGAAGGGAGGAGTTAGGGTCGGGTCACTGATTTGGGACTTGGGCAAGCGAGGTTAGAACTCACGTACCCCTTCCCCGAAGGCAGCTCTGTGGGTCCTGCACCAGCCTCAGGGCAGCATCTCCGGGGCATGGCTGTCCTTTCCATCAGCTGTGGATGCAGCCGATATGGTGCCGAGGGGAAGCCTCCCTTCCCGACAGGTCCAGCACACAAAGATGGGGCGAGAACAGGGCCTCTGCAATAGAAACTTCTTACGGCGGTGAGGAGAAGGGAAATACGCAGTAGCTACTGTTTCCCAGCCTGCTGGAGAATAACAGGACCCCTGTGCAGCTGGCCGCAGCGTGAACTCCTCGGGTCGGCCAGTTTGGCTGCTTTTGTTTTTTGTTGTCTGAGAGGATCTCTTTTGTCCGTTGTTCTTTGTAGCTCATCTGGGAGGGTGTGTAATTCATGTTTCGGCTCAGATGTCACCTCCTCGGAGAACTTTTCTCTGACCTCCCTGTATAAAGTAGGCATCCAGTTTTTAATTGCCGTGTCATAGCCATCGGCAGGGCACTCATTATCTGCAGTGATCTAGTTCATTTACTTGTTTGACTTTTTCTGCCTTCCTTACACTGGAATGTCAGCTCTTGAGGGTGGGCGGGGCCTTGGCTGATGTGTTCACTCTGAATCCTTAGGACCTGCAATCATATCTGGCCCCATACAGTAAATTGGAAGGAATAAGTAAATGAATGAGAGAGGTATAGTATGCTGAAGGAGTAACAGGTTTTCTCTTTGTTTATTTTTGTTTGAGTTTTGGCTGGGGAGAGGAGGATGGTTTCAGTTTTGGATCTAATGAGTTTTGGGACTATTTAGGTACAGATGTCCAGTAGGCCATGAAACATACAAGTCTGAAGCTCAGGAGGTGTTGAATCTGTGATATAGCGAATGCTTACTGAGCCCTTGTGACGTGCCACGCTCTGCTCGTAGCATGTTGCTGATCTTAGCAAAGTAGAGCTGTAGATTTACGGAGGCAGAAGTGGAAACTGTTGAGTGGAACATTCAGAGTGTGCATGAGAAAAAGAATACGGACAAAACCCTGGGGGACCCCAGTATATGAGAGATGAGCACACAAGAGGCACCTCTCAGAAGCAACCAGAGAGGCGGGGGACCCTGGGAGAGTGTGGTGTCTTAGGAACCCAGGGAGCCGGTGGGGGGGGGGCGAGGAGAGCTTCCTGGGTGCGTCAGCTCTGAACCGTGCCCGCGGACCTCAGCATAAAAAAAGAAATGGGAGGAGCTATTTCAGGGAGCCCTGGGGACAGGAGCCAGGTTCCAGGTTTGAGAATTTACAGATGCCACTGGGAAAGAGCTAGTAGAGAGGGAGCGTTTGAAAATGCAGTGAAGGGAGAAAATGGCTCCTGCGTGATTCCTGGGGAGGTGGGGGTTGATGGCAACTGGAGCATTGGTGGAGGAACGTTCTCAGATCTTTTAGTTCGTTTCTTTGTATTTCCCGTGAACCTTTTGGTTTTCCTCATTCTGTCATTTTTCCCAGTTGGAACAGGTGGCAGTGGAACCTTCTGTGACTGTGTTACTTGCCTGCTCAGGACGCAGTGGGGCCTGGTTAGCCACAGGTACTGACTCAGTCTCAGGGACAGAGGTTCCTCTGCTGCTTTCACTAGGATCAGCTGATAGCTTTGTATTTTTCCAAATTACTGTGGCTTCCCATGATTGCGTCTTCATTTATTTCACTAAGCCTGGCATTCTGGCTGCATGAAAGTCATCTTTCAGTAGTCAGGCTACCAGTAGCTGAAATGGCTCAGCAATATTGACAGCTGTGCATTTAGTAAGGAAACCTAAATTACATATACCAGGGCGCCAAAAAAATGTATACACATAACTTGTGTTCATCTTTTGTTATCGATATATATTATTACAATTTTAATACAGTTTTTTCCTTTCTTAAAATGTTTATACATTTTTTTTGGCACCATATGTATGTATGTATGTATGCATGCATGCATGTATTGTATGAATGTGTATCTATCTATCTTAGGAATTTAAGAATTTGCATCAACCCCCCTTTTTTTTTTCCAAGAACAGGAATTAGGTTTCCAACTGGTAAAGTAAAAAGTAAAGATAGTGTTTTTAGAACGTGCTCTTCAAACAGAAGGTATACTTTAGTATTTTTCTCTGTTGCTTTTGAAAGGAAATACATCTTTTAATAGAATTTAAAAAAAATCAAATTATTGATTTGAAAAAAGTTTCCCATAATTTTTATTGTAGATTCCAGAGCCTAAGCAGTCATCTCTTTTGATAACCTGTTTAAAAAATGTGAACAAATTATATGACAGCATGCGAGAAATCTAAAGAGATAGTTATCCGTAGGTTTCTCTTTTAAAACTAGCCTACTTCGTCATGGTAATGGTGATGCGGTCTGCAAAGTGGAGCATGCTCACTCGCGGTGTCCTGACCAGACCTTTGGTTCTTGCTTAGACACAGGGGTATGCAGATCTGGGAAGGCTGGGATGGGGAGGAAGGACTCAGGAGGAGCAGCGTCGTTGTCGTCGCTCCCACAAGATGGTAAAATGTGGTCCTCAGGGTTTCAGTAATAACCACTGTGTGTGTGACTGGACAGAGGCACCTCGTTCCTTCAAAGGTTAAACCTTTAGGCGTTTCTCAACTTTCTGTTAGAGTTTCTTTATGCTCTTAAAATTTATTGAAGATCCGAAAGAGCTTTTGTTTATGTAGGTTATATTGATCAATATTAACTGTGTTAGACATTAAAACTGTCAAAAGTGTAACAGATAAATTCATTAAAAAATACCAGTAAGAAACTCATTAGTGCTTACAGTGTATTTTTATGAAAAGTAACTATTGAAAAGAAATTTAGTGAGAAAAATGGCATTGCTGTGCATTTATGTCAGTCTCATTAATATCTGGTTTAATTGAATTCAGCCAGATTCTCCAAATCTGCTTCTGTATCCAATCTGTCATTTGGATTATTTCATTCTAAGTCATTAGAGAATGGGAGTAAAAAAGGGCAAATTATGTTTTAGTACTCCTGAGAAGTTAACTTTGACTCCTGGACCCCTGAAAGGGTTTCTGGGACCTCCTGGGGGGTGGGGATGGGCCCCTGGACCACACTTGGAAACCACTGGGCTAAACTATACATTTCTTGAGGGCAGAGACCATCGCCTTGGTTTCCTTTCTCCTTTTCCTTGGGATCTGGTGAAATATTCTTTGCCTTGAATTCCCAATTGTATTTAACTAATTCAAATTTCCCCTATTAAATTCCAGGGTAAGGAACCATCCGGTGAATCAGGACTAAATTTCTTTTGCAGGATGCTTTTGCCTTTAATTAGTCACAGTGTAAGAATTCATCTAAGTCCTTTGACTCAACAGCCTTAGAGGTGCCACCCAACTCTTTTCACTGTGTCTGGTGACATTGTCAACTGGCTACAAATCAAGATAAGATGTTTGGAAAGAAATATTCCCTTTTCAGTACAGGGAATCCTAGGAAGTCTTGGAGGTTGCTGGGAGAAAGAAGCTAGAATTATTTCCTAGAAATGGAGTGGAAAGTCTTTGCAGAAGTTTTAGGGGGTCTGGCTGGCACATGGGATCCACTGTGTGCTCTTCCAGTTCCTATTTTTGCACCAAGGTAGGGGCAGGTGGCCTGAAGAGCCAGTGAGAAGCAATCATCAGCTCTTCAAGTAATAGCATTTCATTTGCCACACATTATGTTAATGTTCTCAAAACTTATGGTGGAATTATGCAAACTTAGGCTGAAAAATATATGCACTGTTACTACAATATTAAGACTTTCAATAAAATGTAGGTAAACAGTATCAAAAGGTGTCTTAAAAATTACGTGGTGAATTTTGCAGAAAACAGATATGTGTACAACTTACAGTGTTTACATTAGCAAATTTACCATTAGGAAAAATCTTCATGAACATAGCATAAAAGCAGTTGCTTTTGCATTTGACTTGCCAAGAAATAGAAGCAAAACCATTTTAAAAACAGCATGAATTTGTCTGCTTTATCTGAATGAGTAGTGGCATTTTCTAACTGCTTGCCTCTTGGGCACATAAGTCATCGTGGTGTATTCTTACTAATAGTCTTTGAACTTCTTTCTCTGTCCTTTTCTTCCGGGCCGTATATTGCTGCCTTTAGCGCTTCAGCATGGAAGGGATCTCAAATGTCATTCAGAATGGCCTCCGCCACACCTTTGGAAATTCAGGTGGAGAGAAACAGGTGCTCGGTTACCCTTATTTTCCTCATTCTCTGCTTTTTCATTCTTTGTGTAAGTGAAGGGTCTGAGAGCTGGCAGCTTTACTAATTTACTAAGACAATTATTGCTTAAAAGAGAGAAATGAAAGTTTATTATATTTATAGTCTTGATATTGCATAGAATTTCCCTTTAGGAAAAAGCATTTTTCAAATTGGACAATAGAGTAAATGCATTCTTAATACATATTTCAGAGCTCCATTCTCCACTCCTTCCTTTAAACAAATAGATATTAACATATTTACATAATGAATTGCATGTGTAGAATATATAACTGTGAAAATAACAACTAGAATATGCTACTTTGATTCTAAAAGTTTAAGAAACACGATCTCATTTTAGGGAAGAAAACCAGATGTTGGCATCTTTTTAGACTAGAGTTCTATAGAGTACATCTTACTTCCTTTTAAATGATATTCATGTGTTTTTAAGGTGTATCATGTAGTCAGCGAACTCACTTGTCTACCAAGTAAGGCATAACACATTATTTACACAAAATCACACATGGATATGAATATACAATGAAATGTATAGCAGTTTACTTTTTGTTAACATTTTTTGTATGGTGATTTCATGAATATCAAGAACATGAGAAATACAGCTACATTTAGTATGCTTAAAATTACTTTTCACAATTTGAAATTTTCACTTCAAAAAGAAAACTCTTCAGTTTAGGGCTTAAGATGGAGAAAGTGTGTAGAATGTAGCTTCTAGGCAGTTTACCAAAAGAAGGCATTTGAGTCTAGGGTCTTTAATGAAGAGAGTTCTGTATTCCTCAAGAAAGGAAACAATCGCCATTAAATAATCCTTCATTAAGGGGCTCCAGGAAGGGCTGGTTCAATTTTTTGTCTTTTACGCTGGCGCTTCTCACCTCTCTGAAACCCACATGATCGCAAAATAACTTCCAAACTGACCCAACACGGCAGTGGGGCAGGAAAGCAGATAGCCCGAATGCCAGGGCTGCTTCCCGACACTTCTCCAAGCTGCCTGACACACATGCTGTAGTGACCCCCCCGGAGGCCGTGTGTCTGGCTTTTGGTATATTCTTTACAAAGAAACATATTCAGTTACACAATTGGACATCCCCTTGGAGAGGTTGACACCAAAAAGAGGACAGAAAACGAAGTTTCTTAAAGATTGAACAATTCACTTTTTCTACTTTTCTGAACCTAGGGAGCCAGTTATTGTTAGGTAACTTTTTCTTGTGTTTTGATTATGAGTGGGGTAAAAATCACTCAGAGGATAGAGGAATAGAGGTGAGATTTAGGGCAGAGGCTGAAGAGATTCCAATGAAAAAACAGTTGATCTCTGAATAGAATCTGGATAATTTTTAGATTGTGATTTCATGGGACATAACTCGGATACCTGTGAGCTGTTACACTAGTCAGCTAGGCAGTTTGTCTCAATTTCAGACATGAATTTTCATTATTCATTTCCCTTTAGGCCATTCTTGCTTTCCCTTTTCTCTTTTCCTTTAATACTTTTAAACATTTATAACTACTTAGATAATTTAAAATGATAATAATAATAATAATAATAATAATAATAATAATAATAATAATAATACACCTCTAAAGTTATTTGGGTAAGTGTGTCTTGGTTTCTGGAACAGGCTGGTATATGCTTTTCAAGTTGTCAAGTTATTCATGTTACCATTTTTAATCAGAAAAATGCTCTGAAACAGTTATTTGGCTGTTGAAAATTATTTTATGCAGAACTGTTACAACTGTGTTTTTAGTTTAAACTATTTTAAAATGTTGAAAAATATGCAAGGAGAGTATCACTTTAAAAATAAACAAGTCACCTTCAGTTCTCCTGTGACACTTTCAATAACAGAAAGGTGAAAAACATGGATATTTATGTTGACATTGGGCTTAGATGAAGCAGATAGAGGTGGGTAAAATACTGAGCTCCAGCTTAGACAGTAAGACACCTATGTTCGTTACTAAAGTAACTCATGTTTCATGTTACAAAATAGAACTTCTAGTAACTGTGTCTAATTTTTGCAGATAATTCAGGTTTAAGTGATATATATATTTTTAATTTTGGCAGTACTTGACAACAGTCATTCCTTATGAGAAAAAAAATGGACCACCATCTGTTGAAGATCTTCAAATATTAACAAAAAGTGAGTAAAGACCAAATTAAACTGTTACCTTATTTACTTGCACTGATTCTAAAGATGGATTTTAGTTGGCTGACTTCATTGCTATTATTGTTTTGTCGATTTAGGATAGTAAATGCTTTATTCTTTTGATAGCAAAATTATAAATGGTTATGGTATCAAACACTAAATCCAGAGTTGATTTATATTGTTTTGATTTTCTTGCTTTTTAAAATATTTACAAGCTGAACTTCTGGGGAAAAAATGTAACTTAATTCTCCATCACCTTTTGTATGTTTAATAACCTATACATTTATCAATATATAAAGTGCTTCATGGATCTTATATAAATTTGACTGTCAATAACTGAATCAGGAAGATTTAGGAAAAGTGTGGCCTAAAATACTTTTTTTTTTTAAAAAATGAATGTAGAACCCAAGGCAGTAGTTACAGGTAGAACATAAAGTAAAATTTTAAGAATATTCATGCATTCCGAAAATATTTGATGAAGGCCTACTCTGTGCCAGGCCATGTTCTGGGCACTTGGGATACTTTCATGAACTAAGCAGACAAAAATACTCCACCTTCAAGGGGCTTGCATTTTAAAATAATTTGTTAGACTTAAAGATACATTATATTGAATGTCTCTTACGACAGCCATAAATGAGCCCTGAATTCTGGTTCGGGGATATCCTTGGAAATCACTTACCTTTTCCTGGTCACAGTGAAAAATGAGGATAAAAATTTGCTCTATTTACCTCATAGTAATTAAGCTAATGTATGTGTGATTTGGGGTAAGTCAATTACTCAGCCTTGTTTTTCCTTAAGGGATTGGGTCTGCTGATCTATTAGGTTCTAATTGTAAATATTTGTGATAACTGCTAATTAAAAGGGGAGCCCAATGAGAGAGCATCACATGAATAGATATTGATGATGACATCTATTTTGGAAATGAAGGACATGGAGGCATGGGTGGGGTGGGGGCATAAGGAAAAAAGCGAGTGTCTTATTTACTAGCTGCCTGCCTGCTAACCTGAAGCTTTTATTCTTTCCTTTGGTGAAAAAACTACTTCCAAAACATTTTATACTTAAATATGATAAATCAAGTGATGCCAGCCAGTCTAAAATGAAGAATTAAGAGATTAACTGGGTGGCCTGCCCTCTAATTTTCAGGAAGAACTTACGAAGGTATGAGTGTCCAAGATCACACAAGGTTAAATTACAGGGCAGTCGCTTAATTCCCAGTCTATCTACTGTACTTTTAATGATGCTGGCTTTGGGTATGTGATTTTATATAGAATTGAAAACAAATCTAAAATATGATTGGAAGCAGAAATACTGAGCATAGTAGCCCTGTAAAATGGGGAAATAAATACTGCCGTGAAGCCAGGAATTACTGAGAGACCTCGCCTCGCCTTTTCAGATGGGGACAAACACTTACGTGGCCAAACCAAAGTTATAATTCGCACATCATAATGTCCTTAGGCCAGTTCTTAGATGGTGTCTTCATAGAGTGATACAACTTGGACTCTTTGGGTGAGGGAACATGTGGAGGGCAGGTGAACGAAAGTCTAAGGGAATACTTAGGAGGACAGGACTGTTGGGAAGGCAGCAGATGGAAGGATGACCTTCACTTTCATTGGAAAGTGGGGCTCTCCTGAGAACTCGGGGGAGCGCCTGAGCCCCTGCTGTCACCACCTGGAGATGTTAGCCACAGGGAAAGGCCTGTGGGCGCAGTCCCAGTGTTTATGGTTATGTAGCCGTCCTGGTAAAAGCTACTGGAGGTGCAGTAATAACAATTTTTAAAGCTAATAGTCGTGTTAATAATTATGGCTAATGCTTACGTAGCATGTATTTTGTGCCAGGCAGTATTCTAAGTCCTTCACATCTGAATTAGTAAATGAATACTCACACTGAGACATGGCTAATTACCAATCTCAGATTACAGACGAGGAACTTGGTGCCCTCAGTGGTTAAGGAACTTGCTCAAAGTCCCACATCTGGGAAGCAGCAGAGCCAGGATTTAAACCCGGGAGGGCTGACTTGACAGTTACGCTGGTGTGTCGTATGCCTGGGAAGCATCGTGCGGCACTTTCCCCAGGATGCTCTGGAGAAAATGTGAGCTGTCAGTCACTGCCAAAGTGCAGCACATGTAGGTTTGTCTGTACCTGGATGGTCTTGATTTTCTTTTTTTTTTTAACCACTCTAATAGTAGCTTTTTTCTGTTTTGCCTTTGCTTAGAGACACAATGGTCAGATTCCCTTTAGGATGAGGCTGACTCACCCAGGTTCCTCAGTGGTATACAGGAGGCGGCCTGGCAGGTGCCGCTTCATGGGCGTCTGCTCATTTTGGTCTTTTCTTTAAAAGGTTCCGGGAAGGCTGGCAGGTATGCTCTTTGGAGAGTACACCTAACTAGTCACTTACCTGAGAGTTTCTCCATCTTGTGATGTCTGCAGCACTGGGGTTCTCCTGTACCCGAGCTCAGAGAAGTGCACGATATGGGAACTTGCTGTCCAGTCTTTATGACAAAACTGAGAATCGGTGGAAATAACTGGGTTTCTCTTTCCTGCTGCCACTGTTTGTTAAATCAGGGAAATACCGCTCAGGTAACTGGACTGTCCTTACCTGGATAAGGACTTATTCAACTAAAATAAATTCTTGAGCGTTTATAGTTGTATTCCCTTATCTAGAAAATAATTTGTCTAAATTGGTTACACTACATATTTAAGGCTACAATGATTGAAATTGAATATTTTTTATCTGAACTTGAAATTGTTGCCTTTTCCTTCTTTTATTTCGCAGTTCTTTGTGCCATGAAAGAGGACAGTGAAAAAGTTCCGAGCTTGTTAACTGATTATATACTGAAAGGTGAGTTACATTATAATGGTTTATGTGCAATGGTTGGGAAGTTCTGGGTAGTTAATACGTGTGTTGTCTTGCTAATAGATTAAAAATAATTTCCAAACGCACAACTTTTATTTCATTTGTGCATAATGTGAGGATAATGGCTTCATTATGCATGCCACCAACATTATAAATTATGGTTATATAAAATTTAACTTTTGTTTGAGGTCCTGGGCTAGAAACCATTTCCATAGCTAAGTGATAAACATCGAGGCAGGCAGGCGAGCAAGTATTATGGAAATATTACCATAATTATGAGTCTCAGTTGTTGACACTGGGAAGGTTTGAGAAGGGTGGTGGTCTCTGCCATCTTGGGCCAATGGAGAGAGTAGGACGGACCAGTGAGGATGGACAAAGGGAACAGCCAGATCAGTTAACAGGCCCAGAGGCAATATGAAAGGGATTGGTGTAAGGGACAGGCAGAGGAGGGGGCAACATGAAAAGCATGGACTTGCATGCACCCAGGACAGTGAAAAATGAGCCATAAATCTTAGGGGCAAGATCAAATCACACAGGATGGGAATAGCGTTGAGGAGAAGGAGGATTGTTCGAGAAGTGAATGAGATCGCCTACATGGCTCAGGACAGAGAAAATTCGGATGATAAAGAGAGGAACTGAGGAATTTAATTAGAGGCAAAACTAATACTTTTCAATGAAATTACTTTTGGAAAAGTAGCAGTTATTCAGGTGGCAGATTTTCAAAGCCTCACAAAATTCATCCTGTAGTGTCTGATCCAATTTAGCCAGCAGTCCTCTTTTGGTAACTGTTTTCTTGGGCTCTCTCTCATCTCCATCAGTTGTCAGCTGAACATAAGGAAGGTTGGGATTTCTGAGATGTCAGCTAGCTCGGATGGGACTCTTCTTCAGAAAGAGAGACTCTCAGTGGTGTACACCAGGAGCTCAAGGGGTCACCTATAAGAGACTTGATGGGGAGCCAGCCATTAGAAGTAACAGAGGGCAGAAAAGGCTAAATGACACTGTTTTTCCATAAGCTGTGTTTTTCTGATGGAAGGCTTTTTCTTATTACATGCTGATTTTTTTAATACCTGACATCTTAGTTTGCTTTTGTGTTGTGCTAGCATTGGTATGAAAACTGGATTGTTCTGAGGTTCGTTCTTATAGACGTGAAACAGGAATGAGATGAACACAAAGCACATGTCTTAATTTTTAATTATAGTGGGTCCCGAGGACATTGCCATGAGGGCCAGAGATAAAGTGAGCTTCTGGAGGATAAAAGCGTCCGCTAGCTTTTATCCTTTGAGTGCATGGAAGGATTTTATGACCCAGAGAACAGAATGCTCTGGGGAAAAGGAATTTTTAATTTCTTCCTCCAAAACCCAGGACTAACTGACCCTACACTGCGTGCCTTAGGGAAGCAGCACCCATCTCTTCTGCTCCCTTGCCCAGGCCGCAGGCTCCGGTCCACGAGCCCAGGTCTACCTGTGCCGTTCCTGCTTCTGATGAGCTGCTTGCGTATATGTGTTGTGATTTTGTCTTGGCTTTAAATTTTAAGGAGCAGGTGGAAAAGAAGCCAGGGTTCAGATTAAGAGTTCAAGAAAATGAAGAGTGGGGAGTGGAATGCACCAGAATATTCAGGTGCATGGGGAGGTGAGGATGTGGCGTGATTTCAGTTGCTCTTTTCTCCCCGTCCTGGAAATCCACAGCCAGCTGATGATTCCTCTCTCTCTGAGACCAGTATTAGAACATCCGCCTGGGAGGGGGTGTTGCTCACTGCAGAACTCATCTCCCCTTTCTTTGGTGGCTTTCTCATTGTTGTTTTAATACCAGCGACTATAGCTTGGCTGCCTGGATATACCACCTGAATTTTAACGTGAAGGAAGGTAGAGGAGTGACCTCCCTTGGCCTGGGGAAGATGGGATGGACGCTGTATGGTCTACTTGTCTCTTTCTTATACCTGCTTAATTACCCCACTTCGGCCTGCGGCCACCCCTGCCCTCAACAGTTGTACCAAAGGCGAGCAGTGCAGTTATAGCTGCCACTGTGCTGACCCTATATAGGAATAAAAACGTACACCTCTCTCTCAGTTCACCAGGGAGCCTGTGTGCTGTCTCCCAAACCTCATGGTATAAAGCTAACATTCTGGGATTCTGTGTCTAAGTGGTACCCTGAGAGACATGGCCTTTTGGTATCTCATTGCTGCGCAAGTCTAATAAATGTCTTAAGAGAGCTTTTCATTGTTAGATGTAGCCTTTTAAACCCCCTTTTTTTTTAATTGCTACTATAGATCTTTGTATTAATATTTAGTTCTCATTACTTAATGGTGTTTTTAAATACACATGTAAGATGTATATAAAATGCATATACATCTTGTGTAAATATACACAAAATATACATTTCTAGTTGTTTTATTTTTCTTCCTCTAGTTCTGTGTCCTACCTAGGGCACCGTCACTTCAGGAGCAGTTTTATCATTCGTGGACTACAAGCTAGATTTCCTAGAGCATTCCTCTGAACGCTGGCTGCCATTACCTTCCTGCTATTGGAAACTCAGCACACTTGAACTTGGGTTTGTGATTCAGTATTAACAGATCATGCCTTCACTAATTCTTTGTATTACGAACCAAGAGAAATATGGCACTATTTTTTTTGAATTCTACAGGTGGTTTTTTGTTAAACACTAACCATTATAACCTCTTCTCCAACTTTATAGAGTAAGGGGGAGTAATATTAATTATGCATGTGCAGTTATAGTTTTCATTAACTGACGATATGCCCATTTGAGTTGTGGCTTCCTAGATCTAAACTACACTGAAGTGGATTAAAGCATTGAGAGATTTTTACTATAGGTATCCCTCAGTGATGGCAAAAACCAACACTGATTTTTATAAGAATTGTAGTGTAAATATCACCTACCAGTATTGTCGAGAGACTGAAATTTAACAGACGTGGCTGTTTTCAGAAGACGCAAAACCAGAATGTGTTATCTGAGCTTAATGCTTAGTGACTATTGAAAGCGTTGGCGATGCCTGGTTTTAGAGGTTGCTGCGTGTCTTACATTGTTCAGATTGTAACCATTAAGTTGCCATTTACTTTCAGAGCCTTGTACTGGTTAACTTTAGATGTTGTGGTTTGTTTCATGTGTGTGTGAAGAAGTGTCCTTTCCTTTATGGTGCTTAAGAAACTGAATGCTGCAGCATCGCCCACGTCCCAGTACCGTGTTATATTTTATTCATGCCTGTGTGTTTTCCTAAAGTACTAATTCTAGAAACAGCTACTCATGGATACATCACTAGTCATGAGCCTATTGCCAGTTCTAATCAAGTCAATGCCATTTAATAAACGTTGGGAAAAAGTATAATGTATGCTTGAGAGCTTTATTTTTAATGATTTTTCTTCCCTTGCAGTGCTAGCTTCTTCCCCTTACCATGCCACACTGGCCCTCACTGGAGGGTGTCAGCTGGTGGAACCCTGATTAGCCTCATGATGGTGAGGAGGGGAGAGGGGCTTCTCCAGGTCGCGTTGAGCTGCTGCCTGAAGACAGAAGTCCTGCTTTTTCCCAGGTCTGAGACATTCCCAACAGCTAAGGCAGCTTAGCTTCCTCCCTTAGGTCAAGAGAGTGTAGCAAGAGTCTGTATAGCTGTGTGTGACCCTTTCCTAGGGTCACAAGAAGCTATATAGACTGACAGCCTAACAACAAAAGGACTATTTGTGTTTCTAATCTGCAATGTGGAATCTTTTTGAAAGTTACATTGTGTGATGTAAGATTCAATGTGTTTATTTGCTGCCCAAAACCAAATTGCAAGCAATCCCCTACAGCTTTGTTGTATGAAAACAAAACAAACTGTAGAACTACAGTGCACTGCAAGTGCCATAGATCTATTTTATTCTTCAGGAAATTATATTTGTTTTTCTTTTACAAGAGCACAACAGGAACCAAAGTAAAAGAGTAATAGATACAGCACTCAGGATAAATCATATCTTTAAAATAATAAAAAAATTTACACCTTGTCCTATATCCTGTTAGTATTTTCATAATATGGCCATGATTGAAAAAACAAAAAGCAAGCATTTACAATTTTTTTTTTTTTTGCTAAAGACTTTTTATGCCAGGAATGGATTAATTGTCAACAAAATTTTATAATAATCAGGCTGATGTAAATCTATTTTGGTAACATCATATCATTAACAAATTTATTTTGGAAATAGATAAAAATATTGCCCCTTGATAATAAATCTTTTTTTTTTTCTTTGATGCAAACAGCTAGAACACCTTTTTCTTTTCTTTTTTCTTTTTGATATTCTAAGACAAAGAAAATGGTTAATCTTCAGATTAATAAATTAGGTCATTATAATAATAAATTAATTTTTTTTAAAGTTCAGCAACCTCTGTCCAAGTATTTACAACAATACTTGAAAGTTCCTTTACAAAACAGAACACATTTTCTTTTCACATTAAGCATACTGGGTATCTGTGTCTTTCACAACAAGCATTTTTAAAAGAAAAAAAAAATCAATGCACAAATGGGTAATTAGTATAAAAGTGCTAAGAGCTGTTTGAAAAGTTAACACTATAGTATACAGTCAGTTATATTTGAGGCAAACTACAACAAACTTCCAGCTTATTATGGACAATATTCCAGTAGTTGTTTCAAACAGTTGTTTGAAAAAAAAAAAAAAATCCAGGAGCTGATTAGTGATGCAGATAAACTGTCATCAGTGTCTCTGGCCAGTGAGCGAATTGAAAACCAACTGAAGGCAAACCCAAATGAGGAAGATGATTTACTAAAGGAATCCCTTCTCCATGGCAGGGGTGGTGCTGACTGCTCAAGGTATGTGAGTACATGTATACTCTCTCACACACTCATCTTTCTTTCCAATGAAACTGTAGGTAAAATGAGATTTTGGGTTACTCAAAAATTTGTTAAGTGATCAAAAGCACTGATATATGAAATGCCTGTTTCTTTGTTCTGGTTAAAATCTCATAAAAATACATTCAACAGGAAAACATAAATTGTATGTGTATAAATATATATGTATATATATATATTATATACACACGCACACAAATACTTCTGTTTTCTTTTTTTGAAGCATAAGATAGTTACATAAATATTCCTATAATTGCTAAAGTTTAAAGAGGCATATTTTTTTTTTGAGTTTCAACAAAGGTGCTTGAATAATATACAATTAAAATGAAGTAGTTTCTATTTCGTAGAATCAGTATATAATAAGGAAAAAAAAAAGATCCCCAAACAGTCTTTTTTAAAAAAAGTTTCTTCTTAAGCTAGAGCTTCAACAAAAACTATGAACAACCAACAGTATAACAGAACAAAGCAACAACAAACAATGAAGTATAGCCCCTGGAAATACCTGGTGTCCTTCACCCTCTCCCTCCTTCCTGCCACGTGGTAGTCAGAAAAGCTCCAGTGCTCACATCAAGAAATGACTTTAGGTCCTGTTCATTGGCTGACTCTGCTAGGAACTGGCTGATTGGCTTGGAAGAAAACGAAAGCAGCAAAAAGTATATAACTGTATATATCCTTAATAACCCGCTTTAGAGAAACGTTGCTCTCACATTTCTCTTGCTTCCTCACCGCCTACTGCAGCTGTGACTGTATAGAAAAGAAACTTGTGGCTTTAGACCTGGGATGGCTATCGAAAGGTTCTGATGCGCCCGTCTGGTAGTGCTAAGGTGGTTATGGCAGCTGGATCACAAGGCCTTGTTTTGTTTCCTGCTCATTCAGGCCTGAGCTTTGCCGCCACCAGTGCAGTCTTCAGAGCAACAGGAAAAAAAATATCCTCTGGGCCACTGGACTGCTTTTATTTTACTGGATTTCTCCCCGAGCCAAGCTGACCAATTTGTCTTCCCAACACCACCCTCCCAAACCCATTTCCCCCAACCAAACTCACTGTCCCCACCCCCAAATATCTCTACAGCTATATTACAAGCAAACGTATCTTAGCAACTTCCAAAACTTTGGTTCTAAGAAAACACTTGGTCAGTTATCTTGAGGAAAAGTGGGAATGCTTGTTCTGCACACTGCTGTAGAGAAGAGCCCATCCCAGTCAGTTCTTAGCGCTGTACATCAAGTCACAATCCAATACAATCCACTAAGCAAGTGCACAAATTCTACGTTACTTTTAAGAGCAGATTTAGTCGCTTTCTGTCTTCTAACACCTCGTCCGACTTGCCTTTCTTCACACTGTTTGGTAGAAATTGTCTGCCTGTAGATGGTTCTGTTTCTGCATGCTGTAGAAGCCACTGAATCTTGCGTCTGGTTCAGCAATTCTCAGCATTCTCTGGGCACTGTCCCCCTGGACTCGGGTTCCTTTCTTGCAGTCCACAGATACCAGCTGATTATTTAAGGAAGAAGGCTGTTGCATGAGAAAAGGAGAAACCACAATTAATTAGCTGTTTTATATATCCCAAATTAACACGAATTGAGTGCTCAAGTCAAGTGGGATAATAGCTTCACAATACACGAATGGGCAGACCGTAGGTGGAGTTTACATCCTGTTTTAGTACCAACTATAGTTTTATGAGGGATGCTGACAACTGTGTTTAAGACGAAATGTCAAACGGAGTGGATGAAGGCATTGAGGGGAGAAAAAAAGACCGGTAAAGTGAGTGGCAATTATTTTCAAATCCTTGAAGTGCAGACAAGTGCTTATGAAGAGGCCTGAAGAATGAGCGGAAGTTATCAGATACACAGATTTTAAGATAAGCAGACACTTTGGAATCACTCAGGCTGTATAACAGCGTTACAAGCTGGGCCAGCCCACCTGTATCTAGTTCCTCTACACACTAGGAGCGGGTCTCTTCCCAATTACACGGCAGGTGGGGACTGTGTCCTGCTCTGGTCTTGCCCTGTATCCTGAGTCAGCATGCGCCCAGCACCTAGGCGGTGCCCCGTGCATACTTGTCAAAATCGGCAAGACAACCATCTGACAGAATGTTATAGGCAAGGGTTATCTAGACGGTACATTGGATTAAAATAATTATTTAGGCTGTTTTCGATTCTTAAGGTTGTATGATTGATTTTCTTAAAATAAATAAATAAATAAGCCAAACTAAATGCACAAGGTAGAATTTAGATCGGGAAGTATCACGACTTACTTCCCTCAATGAAAATGAATTTTCTTGCCTTTGAACAGATACATCCTTTCTCCCTCAGTATGCCACCTGCCTCGCTCTCCCTTGTCTACGATTACTTTACAGTCTCTTCATCTTCTGCCACCTTCCCCCTCTCTCCTTGCTTCGGACACGGCTCCCTGTCCCCTGGACTTCTGCACGTGTTCGTAACTGTCTAGCTCTCTTCGTGCCTCTGCTGGGCATCATCACCCTGCCTTTATGATGTCTTTTCTCTCCCAATTCTAAGTTGATGGATCACTGAGAAACACCAGGCGACCAACTTTCATTTCTCATATAAACGACAACCGCTTAGGAATCAATCCAGAGGTACTTGTTTGTTTGAAAACTTTAAAGGAAATCCAGGAAACCAGGTCTGTGGAAGGTCAGGATTTATTAACTAATGGATGGTGGGTAATTCATCCAGCGACTGATCCAGCCCTGGGCAAGTACTAGACAGCTGATTGATTGCTATAGCTTGATGTGCACTTGAGGCTCTGAAGAGCAAAGTAAAAATTTCACTGGCTAATGTAAAAGATATCAAACAATGGAAGGAACTAATAAGCATGCAAGCTTTCCTAGTCTGATCAGCCAAGAGGCTGACGTTTTTTCAGGACTATACCTTAGTTGGTGTTCGATACCAGCAAAGCAGGGGTATCCACTGTTTCTTCTGATTGATGAACAGGAATGCTATTATAATGGAGAGGACTATGATGATGGGCACCGCAACAGAGGCAATGGAGTCCAGCGAGGCATCTTCACCCGGGTGTCGTCTGTTAGCATCGCCGTGACCTACCTGGAGGAGACCCACATCTAGGAAGAGAAAAATTACAAGCATGTATTACCTACACCAGAATTACACTGCAAGTAGAGATCAGCAACTTGGTTGTGCTGCTTCACAGCGCTTTAAGGCTAAAACATGATGACAGTCTAACGTGCATCCTCAGAGCGGGCAGAGCTCTCAGGGACGGATATGAAAAAGGGACAGATTAGGGTAAGGAGGTGAACAACTGGGCAGGCTGATGCTGGTTTGAGCTCATCAAGAAAATAGGAAAATTCTGAGGAAGACTTTAAAAAGTGACTAAAATTAGACTACTAAAAATATTTTGATTAACATTAACCTATATTGGCTTCTAAGATTTTAAAGCAGAAACATTAGCTTAGTGCCCAGCTTACCAGCAAATAAGAGACTAAGGCGAAGTGTATTCTTCTACTTACTGGTGTAATAG